CCTTCCTTTCTCCCTTCCTTCCTCCCCTTCCCTCATCTGTTTGCTTTCTTTGTTTCTTTCTCTCTCGTATTTCCTCCCTTCCCTTCCTCCCTCATCTATTTGCTTTCTTAGTTTCTGTTTCTCTCTCTCTTGTTCTTTCTTTCCACCTTTCATTCTTTCCACCTTTTTCTTTTCCCTCCCGTCCTTCCTCCCTCTCCCCAACTATTTGCTTTCTCTCCCTTTCTTTCTTTTGCTCTCTCTTTCTCCCTCCCCCTCTATTTGTTTTCTTTGTTTCTCTATCTCTTTCCCCCTTCCTTTCTCCCTCGCTCCTCCATCTATTTGCTTTCTTTCCACCTTTTTCTCTTTTTCTTTCTCCCTTCCTTTCTCTCTCTCTCCACCTGTTTCATTTTTGCTTTCCATCTCTCTCTCTCTTGTAGACAAATAAATATCATTAGCAAACAAATAAATACCATTATCAATATCTGTTTTTACCCCTTTTGTTTTTTATTTTTGGCAGTCTCGTTTAATGTTAGCTTTACTGAAATTTATATAGCTCAGAATATCATCTTAAGGAATAGAACCTTGTACCTTTATCCTGTATCTTGTTACACTTGACTGTAAGAAAATCCTTACTTTACGTGAAAGCCAACATACCTTTAAACGTTTCTCTCTTTGCATTGCCAGCTTCAACTTCTCATGGAGCTGATCACAATCCAAGTTTAACAAGGTACCGTTCCTTCTTATTTCATTGTCATCAGGGACTGGAACTGGATCGTGTGTATTCACTGCAAAATAAAAAGAGTGTTCTCTTTTGGCCATTTTTTAATCTGAAAAAAGCACACACAAAAATGGTTAAAAATACACAATGATTTCATTTCAGTTCTGAAATCCAGTATTAATATTCTTTGCCCAGCTGCTATGTAATCTGTAGTTTACCAATCTGAAAACTGTTAGCAAAAAGAAAAAGAAAAGAAAGTAAACAAGAACAATCCTCACCTCTTTAATAATTTTTTTTTTTATAGAAGACAGACCATAGAAGAAAGCATGTGTGATATTTTAACACACATTATTAGAAAAGATTTGGGGAAACAGCCTGAAGTCTTGAATATTTAACAACATATTAAACCCAATAACTACTCTATTTACCTTAAAAGAAGACCAGTTTTTCCCCTACACGTGCCATCAAGAGAAAGAGGGGCAAGTTCAAATTCAGTTTCAGTTCTATATAGTAACAAAACACCTTTTTGTGTTTAAAGGGGTGTGGTGCAAAGGTGTCAGCGAGATGCCATAGTGATTTGTGTGTATCTGAAATGCCTTCCCTTGGCCTCACTTCCCCCCCCCTCGCTCGGCTGCAGAGGACACTATCTGGTCTCATGGTATCATGCATTCTTTTCCTGTACGCTAATGCTGCTTTGAACTATCGTAATCTGCAAGGCCACAGGTGGTGGAGAGTCGGCTCGGCTTAGTCTATAATGAACTAGAGTGTGAGATGAGTATAATTGTTTATCATTTAGAAAACCGTTTCTTTCCCAGGCTTTGGGTGCGAATCTGACAGCATAACCGCAGGAGCGGGAACCATGTCCATTGGTTATTGCTTTTATGAACTTGCTTTATTATCCTTTCCCTGACTGTCGTGGTTATTCTAAACAGTGCACTTGTTCCAGCATCATCATAGCTTCAATAAATATTACTTTGTTTCAGACGTGTATTGGATTGATAGCTGTGGGATCGGACAAAAGGTTAGAGTGCCGGACTAGGATCTGGGAGATTCAGGTTTGAATCCCGCACTCTGCCATGGAAGCTCACTGGGTGACCTTGGGCCAGCCTCAGCCTAACTTACCTCACAGGGTTGTTGTGAAGATAAAATGAAGGAGAGGAGAGTGCTGTAAGTAGCTTTGGGCCCCCACTGGGGAGAAGGCACATATGAATTAAATGAATAAATGTTAAGGATATTATTTTACACTATCAGGTAACGATGGTATATAGTAGCTGAACGTATCTGGAACTTTCACATATCCAAACGTGATGTTAACTGCCCTTTCAGTAGGGTTTTAGTAAACTATAAACGATAATGATAAACACGGTCTAATGTGACAAGCCTAATAAAAGAACGACCGTGAACATCAGACTCCAAAGTATCAACAGTAAAACAACTTGTAAATGCAATACGTAATGTCTATCTGAAGTGCTTACAGTTCATAAATGTACAAAATTAAAGGTAAAGGTTCCCTTGCTCAAAAGCCAGTCGAATCCGACTCTAGGGTTGCGGTGCTCATCTCTGTTTCAAAGCCGAAGAGCCAGCGCTGTCCGAAGACGTTTCCGTGGTCATGTGGCCGGCATGACTAAACACCAAGGCGCACGGAACGCTGTTACCTTCCCACTGAAGTGGTACCTATTTATCTACTTGCAATTTCTTGCTTTCGAACTGCTAGGTTGGCAGGAGCTGGAACTAGAGATGGGAGCTCACTCCATCATGCGGCACCCGGGTCTCGAACTGCTGAACTACTGACCTTCCACAGCCTGCAGTTCAGCATCTTAACCACTTGAGCCACCGCAGCTCCACAAAATACAGTTTCAATAAGTCATAAGGAAAATTCTTTCACTACGGTTGCTGGCTTTGGGTTGGGAAATATCTAGAGGTTTGTGCAGGGTTTGGGGAGGGGAGGGACCACAGCAGGGTATAATGCCAGAGTCCACCCTCCAAAGCCGCCATTTTCTCCAAGGGAAGTGATCTTGGTTGCCTGGAGATCAACCGTAATAACAGATCTCCAGGTACCACCTGGAGGTTGGCAGCCCTACCTTTCAGATAAATCTTTGCTGTCTCCCAATCTAGTTGATGCAAGCGTCTGTCCCGTTGTCTAGATCATTTCACATCTCTCAGAATATCTGCAGAAGTATGGGATTACTTCTGAAGAAGCCTCCACGACATTCAAAATGTTACCGTCTATGGGCGAAGTCATCTTGCGTATTAGTCCATCTTTGAAGTGACACCCAACGGTCTAAAAAAGTGAGACCACCGTGGGTGGCTGTGGGGAGGAACAAGGCGCTTCTGTGGCCAGTTGCTCACATATGCTCCCTTTTAAAAGTAACATATGTGGAACTTTGTTCCATGGACTGATTCAGCAGCACTTGCTGCCACACGACACGTTTAAGATCATTTCCCCACCCCCCACCCCAGATGGAGATAAATCTGTTGTTTCATCCTTGGTAAACAAACTGTGCAGAAGTTTCACTCAGCCGGTGCCACTGACCGAACAAAGATTACTGTCATCAGTGCACAACTCAGCACAGCCTTTCAATTTTGTTACCCAGTAAGGGAACAAAGTCACGTGACTCGAGTGGTCTCTCTTCAGATATCCTTCTTCGGCCCGCACTCTTTGTTCCCTGTTCCTCTTTTTTTCCATTTCCACGTAATTGCTTCCACATTTCTTTCCCTCTTATTTTTAGCCCTTTCCACTTCCCATTTCTCCCCCGCCCCCCCACCTTCTCTTTTAATACACTCCCTTCTTTATTTTCCTACAATAGCATTTCACAGAAACAGGGCAATGAGAGCTACAGCATGTTCCCGAATCTTTCAGTGCCAGGGCTCAGGGAGGAAGAAGAGATGAAGTAGCAGGAATAAGAAACATAGCTGTGACCCCTATTCAGAGCAATTATTTAGTGGAAACTTCTTTGCATACACATAGCCATTTTTCAGGCAGTAGTCACTTTGTAGAAGAAGGGCTCCCAGACTGGAGACTGGGGGGGGGGAGGAAAGGAAAGACCACTCCACCAAGACGTTCATCCATCCTTTCCAAGCTGCTGCCTAAATTATGTGAACATTTTCCCCCACCTCCACTCTTAAACGTCCAAGTTATCAAGGTAGTATACAAAATATCTTGGTGACCTAAGATGCAGCTTCTAAATTATAATTACATACATTTCGCAAATGGTATATAAGAACCATTCTATCTGTCATTCAAAGTTAGGATTTACATTTGATTAAACAATTTTTCTTCATTTGCAAACCCCCCCCCCATTTTCCATCATTTTGCAAAAAAAAAAACCCCCACAAACATGAGTCTCAGTTCACCCAAAGTGCTGTAATTATTGAAACTGTGGCGAATTTTCTGTATCTGGCTTCTAAAAGAAGAGAAATGTATTAGGATTTCACTTTCCTCCTGTTTGTTTTTCTTTAGTTTGCTGTGCCAATAAAGGTGGTGGTTGTTTGAACAAGTCTCAAAGATTCTCCCTTGTGTTGGGATGCAGCCCTGATCTTCAGTGTTATGCCACTGGATGCCCGCTGATGTGTTTTCAGGCACCCACTTCTTTCCTCCCCAAAGCAAAGAGCCAGTTCTGACTTACCTCCATCTCACCTGATCGGTAGATGCTTCAGAAGAGCCCACGAGGGAAGCACCCATTTGGAAATCACAAGTAGAGGAGGGCATTTGACTTGCAACCTCATAGCTGTCTGTGCCTGGCTCCATGATAGCCATTTTTTTTGGTCACCTGTGCCCTCCTGGCAGCCATTCTGGGGTGGAGTCTACTCAATGTTCTCAAAATTCCCAAAGCCTCCATAGGCTCAACAAGGTTGGGGACTGTGCTACCCATAATGCAGCTTTACTCTGCAAGGCCCTAGACAGTGATTTGTTTTATGATGGGATAAGACACGAAAGAAGATGACAGGTGAGGCTCCCTCCTCCTGCCAAAGGGATCGGCCAGCAAGCACCCCTGCAACGGCCACCACTCACTTCGTTCAGCCCTCTTGACTTGGCAACTGGTATTCGGGCAGCCTAATTTGGCACCGGAGCCTCCCTATCCTAACATTAACAAGGAGTTATTTCTCATTCTTATTGATTGTTTATAACTGTGAGAAGTCACTAGAGGCCACACAGGTGGGAACAATTCCCTGAACTAGAAATGCACAGACAAAACAGACTCTTTATTCCACTCTGTTTTGTAATATCATGTTTCCATTACTTCCAAATTAGAAAATTCATAAGGAAAAACCAACACAGGAGACAATACAATCAACGCAGGTGTCCAGGTGTCTGTCAGGAGAAGGCACTGATGTCTGCAGATCATGAGAGGGAGGGCAGGAAAGGCTACATCAGTGCTTAGTTCTTGTGGCCCTCTCTTACATGCCCAGAGAAATGCTGATTGCCACTTTGGGGTCAGGAAGCAATTTGTCTCCAGGCCAATTTGGCTGGTGATCCTGGAGGTTTTTCTGTCATCTAGTGGGCATAGAACAGGGGCCACTGGGGGTGGGGGGGTATTTGTGAATTTCCTGCATTGTTCAGGGGGTTGGACTAGATGACCCTGGAGGTTCCTTCCAACTCTATGATTCTTGTGTCCCCTCCCCTCCCCCAACAGTCCTTTCGGACTCTGGGAAACTTTGTTCCTGGGTTGCAGGAGCCACATGGAGTTAAAATAGCCACAGGCTGGAAAGCTGCAGAGGGGAGGCAAAGGGGATGAAAGCGAAGGCAGGAGGAAGCCATTTCGCCTGTTTCTCTCTCCACACTGCAGCTTCATAAGAACATAAGAGAAGCTATGTTGGATTAGGCCAATGGCCCATTCAGTCCAACACTCCCTGTCACACAGTGGCCAAAACCCAGGTGCCACCAGGAGGTCTACCAAGTGGGGCCAGAACTCCAGAAGCCCTCCCACTGTTGTCCCCCAAACCATGGGGCTATTACTTCATGTGGTCCCCGCAACCTCAGGAACAAACTTTCCCGGAGTGAGAAAGGATTGCTGGGGGCAAGGAAACATGGGAAAGATCTGCAACCCTGCATCCATGGATCATGGAATCCAAACGATAAATACCAAAAGCAATCTATTGCACTATACATAATTTATTTATTTATTAGATTTTTACCCCGCCCTCCAGCAAGGCCAGGAAATCACTAATTCAATCACTAATTCAATAATTCAGTCCAAGGAAAAGGTCTTCTATTAAAAGTCCTACTGAGCAAGTTTCCAGCTCAGGTGCTCTCATCTCTAACCACAATGGGTGTAACTGGGGAATCAGGTGAATCTAATCTCAACAAGAATCCATGACACCACTCTGGGATTGTATACACATTTATTAGGAAGTATAGCTGAACAGAAGATCATTTCCTCCCAAGTATATCTGCAGAGACGTTGCAATTTTAAATAATGAAGTAATACCATTACTTCAAAGAGAATTACATGCATACAGCTACATGGGACTTGCTTTCAAGAAAATGGGGGCTTAGAGCTACCAAAAATGCCTTTCCTCGTGTGACCACCTGACAACAATGAGGGTTGTCAGATGCCAACATCTTATGAAGAAAAGTAACCATGGTGCCAAGTGCCATCAAGTCACAACTGACTTATGGTGACCCTGGTACAGTTTTCAAGGCAAGAGATGTTCAGAGGTAGTTTGCCATTGTCTCCCTTTGTGTAGCGACCCTGGACTTCTTTGGTGGTCACCCATCCAAAAATTAACCAAGGCCGACCCTGCTTAGCATCTGTGAGCTGACAAGATCAGGCTAGCGTGGGCTATCCAGGTCAGGACCAAAAAGTAATAGTGGAAAGTTCTTTGTACAATACATTCTAGAGTGTATTAGCTGGCTGCAGTCCTCAAGCCACCATACAGAAAAATCTGCATTTCCTCCCCCCTTAGTTTTCTGCTTAGGAACTCACAGCACTGGAACGTTGATCCTACTTCACAATTTGAGTAGGATAGTGAAGGGACATCAAAAAGCCATGTGTCCCATAAAAGGCTATTATTGTTCAGGGATTAGAGCTCACTTAGCCAGCTCTCATGGGGCAGAGCTCACTCAGCCATATGCAAGTTTGGGAAGGAAAAAAGAACAGACTCTGGTTCAGAAGGAGATGCTGTTGGGAAAATAATAATAATTCATGACCGCCTCTGAATCAAGGCCATTTAGTAGCATTTACAGAGAGTGAGGAAGGATACATACCTCTGCTTGCATTCAAAGGAGTCAACTGTGATTTGAGCTTTGCAACAGCCCTCGTCAGAGATTCTATTTGTTCCTGTTGTTCACGTATTTGTTTTTCATAGCTGTCCGTCTACAAATACAATTTAAATTAGCAGTAGGCATGCTGTGTACGACAGGCAGATACAGAAGCTGCTGAAATTTCAGTGTTAGCAGCTGGGCTTGCCGCATTAACATTTAAATCAGCGTCCTCCATCCCAATATTCAAGCTTCTTTTAGTAGTGGGGCAGTCATTTCCAATAGCTTCTATTTTTCTCCCCCCCCTTTACTTCATTTCTATCCCACCCTTCCTCCACAAAACTTAGAATGGTGTACACTCCCTTGAGCAACAGATTTATCGTGCAATCCTATACAGAGTTATCCCAGTCTAAACTGGTTGATTTCAGTGGGATTACTCTGCACAGGATTGCACTGTAAGAGATAATGGATTGGAGCCTGCATAAAATCTCCACGGACAGAATTTCCCCCTCCTCCTGTGGCAGATCTCCGATGGCTCCCCCAGCTATTACTGGGCATCCCCCATCCCCAGTAGCAGCACTTCAGGGGGAACTTTGAGCTGCAATGGGATGGAGGTAGTCATGCGCTGTAGACATTAATCCCTTCTGCCTGCAGAAATTTTAGGCGGGATCCAAGCAAGCCAACAACTTGGCCAAAGTTTTCCAATAAGTGACATGGCTGAGCCTAGGTCATCAAATCCAGCACGACATGTTTTATACCATATCAACTCAGTTTTACAAAGTCCTCAATGGACCAGTGCCAGTTGCGCCTTTAACAAAAAAGTTCACCACCTATTACAGTGCCAGTTTACAGCCTAGTAAAAGCTCCTGATGAGGTGAGTAATAGCAACGCTATGATTTCTTCAGTCATTCCATTCTTTGGAGTCCTCAAAATGATAGCTTTCAGCAAAAGCAGCAGAAGAAAATTGGGGGGTGGGAAATGCTCACATACATTTGAAAGAAGAAACAAACTGACTCAAAGAAAAGCGTGAGGCAGCTGTTGCCTCACAGACCCGCTACAGAGCTAGGAGGTCAGAGAGCCGTACGTTGCAGCAGCCAGGAAGACCCCAGGAAGCACAGGAAAAAAACACCAAGACCCAAATTGAAAATGTACAACAGCAATGTCTTGTCAACACTTCTGTACAGAGCACAGGCATGACAGCTAAAACAGACAGAAGAGAAGATGCTTTTGACAGCCAGCGTGCACAAGCGATTCTTTGCGAGTCAGATGGCAGCAACAAGTTACTGACTAAAAGATACGCTTGACAACGAACCATCCATTTGTATCAAGCACCATCTGGCCAAGACGACTCTGGCTTCTATGTTTCTGACACAGCTCCGATCTTTGGAGGCTGGCAAAACAAGTGGCCAGCCAGCAACTTAAGAAGTTAGCTGTTGGCCACACAGAGGTAGAGAGAACCCCAGAATATGGAGGGGAGGGGGGGGCAGAAAGCCCCATTTGAAAGTGTTAGCTGTTGGCCACACAGAGGTAGAGAGAACCCCAGACTATGGAGGGGAGGGACGGGCGGGCAGAAAGCCCCATTTGAAAATCACTTGTGTGGATAATTTTGAGCTCAAGATTTCTACATGCTGATGTTCTTTACGAAATCTTTTTAGATGCTTTGCACTGGTTTTGCTTGCAGGGTGTTGTTGTACGATCGAGCAGGCTTCCATAACTCAGATGTGCAAATAAACCACATGCCTGGCTTCCTGTGTTGTAGGACAATCATCTCCAGGTAACCAAGCAGGGAAGCTCTTGTACACTAGAAATAAGCTGGTTCCTTTCGCCACCATGACACATCAGTTAGTGTATCAGACTAGAGTGCCAAGAATCAAGGTCAAATCCCCATTCAGCCCTCAAACTTGCTGGGTGACCATGGACCTGGAGAAGAGGAAGCCATGTATGCTGCCCTGAGAAAGATTAGAATTAAAAGGTACTAACTAGATAAATCCAGGTTTGCTGCCGTCAATCTACTGAAATCTGTCTGTGGGTTAGTAATTTAGATAAATAATTACGAGGCTGCTTCAAAATCCTTCCCATTTACTTCCCAATTCTAATATTACTGCCTGTTTCCAAACTTTCCACGAAGCTCACCAGAATTTGCCCATACAGCGTGAAAGGCAAAAGGCACTGTGTATTAATGGGTCACTAAAAGAAACTGGAAGTAAGTTCACCAATGTGCATATCAATATATGCCTGGCCTTCGAAGGGGCCATTGAGCCACACACCCGATTGGATGCACAAATTCAAAAGTCAGAGCATTCTCAACAGATGGCAGTGTGCCTTCTTCACATACACATAACAGAAATCTGTGACTGCCTCCCATCACATGCATTAGAGGTGGCCTGGCTTGGCCTGTGTGCGCATGCCAAACGCAAGTCTACGTTCACAATGGCCCACAGAGTTTGGGAGAAAATAAGACACATACCTTTTGTTTGAGCTCTTTCACTGCGGAATCTCTATCCATACACGCCTGGCGAAAGGCTTCATATGCCTTATTAAGTTGTTCTGCAATGTTTCTATCCATACTTCCCAGCAATATCTCATCACTGTAGAGATTAAGAAAGAAAGCGATCAGACTAAAATCCTGATTGGGGTACCGCGGGGGAGAAAAAAAGCACTGGTGACTGGAAAGCCGCTATGGCTGTCGGTCTAGATTTGCAGACAATGATGTAGCCCTGTGGTGGCTCCGTCACACTCCATGAGCTACACAAAGTAGAAATTGGCTCCTGCTTAGCACAGGATGGCTGCGTTGGCTTGAGAAGCAGGATGCACCAGAACCGTGTCAGGAGTGTATGAAGCTGTCTGGTCTCCCAGTTCTTAAGGATGACTGGCGTCACCTCAAACATATAAAGCTAGGGGTGCAGAGGTCATTTCGGGGGGGAACGCAGGGGAACACAGTTCCCCCGGGTGAGGTGCAGGGGGGCGGGGCACATGACGAAGCCCCTCCCCCTGCTTCCAGCCACCCCGCTTCCAGCCCTCATTCAGCCAGGAGGAGGCAGGAGAAGAGGGAGGGTAAGTTGCTTCCTCCCCGCCTCTCCCCACCCCTGCCTGCCTGGGGCCAGGGAGGGCCTTGGCGGGGCTTCCTCGCACTCCCGCTGGCCTTGCAGGTCCACCGCCGGGCCCCTGATGTCAGGGGGTGTGGCATATGCTAATGAGTTATGCTAATGAGTTCCCCTAGCTCTTTTTCTACGAAATGACCCCTGTAGGGGTGTAGTCTGACATCACAGTGAGGCAACCTCCCTAGGGAATCCACACTCTGTTTTGTGACGTGCAGAGAAGATGAGCATAGTAGAACATTTAAAAAACCAACAGACTTGATTCCACAGATAGCCAGATGCTTCTGGGAAGCTAACCAATGTGCCGTAATAGCAATCACTTCCCCCGCTTTGTTCCCACCACCTGATATTCCAAGGTATACCTCATCTGAACTTGGAGGCTCCATTTAGATTTTGTGGCTAATGGCTGCTGAGAGGTCTATCATCAATAAATGCATCTAATTCCCTTTAAAAAAATATCTAAACTAATGAGCCATTAACACATTTTGTGATTGTTAATCCAATTTCCCCTTCGGTAAAAGACGTCCGCCTAGTAGTCAGCCTTATAGTATTGTTAACAGGCAGTATTTAGCCATACGGTATTATTAACAGCCAGTGTGGTGTAGTGGTTAGAGTGTCGGACTACAGTCTGGGAGACCTGGGTTCGAATCCACGCTCTGTCCTAGCAGCTTGCCAGATGGCCTTAGGTCAGTCACACGCTCTCAGTCTAACCCACCCCACAGGGCTGTGAAGAGGATAAAATGGAGAACAATGTAAACCACTGCGCTCTCCTGGAGAGAAAGGTATGGTATAAATGAAGTAAATACATAAAGGAAAGGAAAAGGGGGAAATGTTCTAGTCCCTGGCACTCTTTACATAGATGTTTAACTTAAAAATGACCCTGAATTAAAGCATGGTGAAATCTAGAGATATGTCTCCACTGGAGTTGATGTGTATTAACCAATTAAGAGTACAACATCTGCAGGACTGATCTGTACAGGAACACTGTATATAATAACCAGGGGCCCAGACATTGCAGTTCTATGCAGAGTGATTCCAGTCTAAGCACATCTGTTTCAAACTGATGGACAAACTGGAGTAAACCTGCACAAGACTGTATTGCTAACCTGAAAGAATTTCAGTTAATTAATACCTGTTTTTTTTATTACACATTAATCCATTACCTAATAGACATTAGTCCACTGAAGTAAATGGGTTGAACTCTGGCTCTGCTGAGAACTGCACTGTAAAAATGAAAACTTGTGTATTATGAAAGCTTCACCCTATGTGTCAGATTTTGACGGAAGCACAAAACAATTTAACAAAGGAAAAAATGTACCCATTGTTGGGAGGAAAGGCAACTTTGATCCTGCTGTTTTAAAATTTCCTCTTACAGCTACCCACCAAATCGTCTCCAAAATTCAAAGTGTGCCCTTATCTCTCAGTCTAACCAATTAAAATTAATATTCATGAATGAATCAACGGGAGCTTTAGTTGACTAATCTGCTGGAAAAATCAAAAAAAGCAGGCAGCCCAAATTGCAATCTAAGTACAAAACAAATACATTGGCAGGTTCAAACGCCTACTATTACTGGCTGAAAATTTATCAACCATCATTACTGTACACAAGAACACCCCTCAATTTCCAAATAACTTCGAACAAGTCTCCCTGCCCATGGATTAATGCTAGCTGGAAAAAAAACCCCAAAACCAATTATCTTTCCTCAGATCTCATACCAAACAAACAAGAACAGCTTCCAGAACATAATTAATTAAACGTGACAAATTTCTAATTTAAACAGAGTCAACTTTGGCACTAGCAGTCTTTTGCTTTTTTTATTTATCATCAAGGGAAACCATTATTATTACTTAGGGAACATTCACCAATTTCTACAAGCTAAAGCAGCTCAGACTCTTTGGAGGGACAGAAATTGCTGCTAGTGGAGCCTGTGTGATTTACAAGGCTTACTAGGATTAGAATCTATCCTGCCTGAAGAGACTGAAAGTACAGCACTTGTTTTCTTAGAATTTCATGTTTCAATTATCTTTTTTAAAAGTACGGTCAAATTAAAAATATCATTTCATATAAAACGAACAGAGCTATCGCGACGAATAAAACCTGTAACAGGTTTATGAAACAGTCGCTTCCCAGGCTGCCTCCGGCGTATCAGAGCTGCCTCCAGGCAACCAGGCAGAAAACTTTACCCAAAAAAAGTATCCCCCCCCCCCCGCTTCTTTTAGACCACAAACACTGCCATATGAACGTGTGGGCAAACAGCCACTAAAAATGTGGGGCTATAATTTTTGTAGATCACTCTGAAAGGCTGGATATATTAAAACATCATAATTTTGTCTCATGCTAATCTACACCATGTAATTATTTGCATACTTACACACTGAAGAAGGGGGGGGGGGAAGGTTCCCAAGTGGGACACAGAAGGTAACTAACTATGGAACAGTCTCCCCCCACCCACCCCCGAAGAAGTATGTGCCACAGAAATTAAACGGAATGCCCCCGTACCCTCAAGAAATAAAACCCCAAACCACACTGGCGGAAAAGAGTCTCCTCAACCGTGAAGGCCACAGGCCAGGAATGTGAGGATTTTGATTTGAGGCAGTGGCTGGCTATCATTATTATGAATGCTATTGTCTCCTGCCTTTCTTCTGAAGAGCTCAGGACAGAGTAGTATGCTAGTTGATCCTTTCAACAGTTCTGGGAGTAGGAGGAAGAAGAGGAGAGATTGGATTTATATCCCACCCTTCACTTGGAGTCTCAGAGCTGCTTACAATCTCCTTTCCCTTTCCCTCCCCACAACAGACACCCTGTGAGGTAGGTGAGGCTGAGAGAGCTCTTTTGAGGACGGCTCTTGAGAGAACAGCTCTGAAAGAACTTGTGACTGACCCAAGGTCACACCAGCTGCTGCATGTGAAGGAGTGGGAAATCAAACTCGATTCTCCCACCACTCTTAACCACTACATCAGACTGAGAAACACAGACTTCTCAAAAGCAGCCTGCTAGGCTTCTTGCAGGCAACAATCCAGGCCACCATAACACATTACACTATATTAGGTACTGCACATGAAGCAACCCAAATTAACCACTCCCCATTTAGCCTCAAAACCGAAGAAACCTTTCCTACTCTGGAAACTTTTACTATGGAAATGCTTATAGTTTTCATACTGTAGGTAAATTTAACGACTTGGCCTGAGAAAGTTTTATGGAGCTATTTACATGCTTTACAATTTTTGTTCAAGTATTATTTTATGCAAACTGTAAGGGTGATTTTCCACAAGCGCTGCTCCGCGCTCACTCCTCCCTTTTGCCCCGATGGTACGTGTCAATTTCACACAAGCTGCTGCGCGGCTGCATTTTGCCCCACAGCTTCGTGCGATTTTCCCCACGTCTACTCAATCCTCAAAAAACAGGATTGAGTAGACGTGGGGAAAATCGCACAAAGCTGCGGGGCAAAATGCGGTCGCGCAGCAGCTTGTGTGAAACTGGCACGTACCATCGGGCCAAAGAGAAGAGTGAACATGAAGCAGCGCTTGTGGGAAATCACCCTAAGTTTCAAATACCTCAGGGCCCAATCAGAGCTCTGTAAATGCCTCAAAAAGGTATCCCACACATGAGTAAAGGGTTCTGAATGAGGATACAGATTTGTACAAGTGAGGACTGCAAGAACAGACCTGGGGGATCTCATTTCCCCAACTGACCTTCATCCCCAAGCTAATTCCAGTTTCACTCCTGCCCTACCCCACATGTTCCTGCCCTACCCCACACATTCCTTTGCCTGTTTCCTTCTTTTCCACTTACTAGTCTTTGTCCCTTATTTGTCCCTTTCCCCCTATGCTTCTCCCCTCAGCTTCCTTCTCCTGCTTCCTTGGCCTCTCTCCAACCCCACTTTCCCCCTTCAGTTCTACTTTCCTTCCTTTCTCTCACCCACCCTAATCTTCATTCTTGTCTTTTCTGCTTGCCTACCAACTCCCTCCTTCCCCAACTAACCTTCAGTGCCAAAGTAAACCTGCAGAATCCGTTAGAGATTACCAGAGTTGCCTAGGCAATCCAAAATGGCTGATGAACTCTTGTGTGGAAATTCCCTGGGACCTCGGCATTTTAAAACTTTTATTTTCCCCACCCTCTCTCTAATTATTTTACAATTTAAAATTATCTATACATGGCCTCATTGTGTGGATTTTTTGATCTGCAGTCTTGTGCTATTATTCAGAATTAGACCTACTGATATGAAAATTGGTGAACTTATTCCCATGAGAAGTTTAAAAGCAAAAGTATAGGAAAAAATTAGACTGAAATTTGCCTATCACTACAAAAGTAAAAATCATCTTCCCTGAAAGATCCTGATCCAAGGCTGAAAAATCTGGTTACAATCCGACAAGTTAGATACGACTGACTGCCAAAATTTCCTGTCTGTAAAATGGAAATAAGAAGACTTGTACATTGAGAGGAAAACAAGTCAATTCTGTAAGGAATGTTACAAATGCCTAGGCAGAGGATAAAAACAGCACCATTGAATACCCAGTAGTGAGGATGGTAGACAGGCAGGCAGCTAAGGTTCTGACATGAAAACATGAAGCGTGCTCTTCAAGAAACAATTTAAAAACTTAATTTAAGAAGAAAGAGGGATCATAGGATACACTTATCCCTCGAGTCTCTCTATTCATTGTTTCTCACTGAAAGAATGCACAGTCAAAACACTCATACTCTAAGGAAGCATATGACATTTTGATGCCTGAGGCAGAAAATCAAAATGACACTCATAGCGCAAAAAATAATAATAAATTAGACAACCGAAAATTTGCTGCCCTTTAATGACACCCTCAAAATCTGCCAGAAGCGCAAAGCTCTCTCACATTGCTTCACCTCAGAACCAGTCTTGCTCATTCTAAGCATCCCCCAGCTCTGCTGCTGGCATACAATTCTCCCTCCTTTAACACTAATGAAAGAATTTCCAAAATGCTTTCACTTAGAACAAGGGTAGGGAAAAAGACCTTCAATCCACGAACATATCCGCCTCGAATAAGGATGTGGCTCATAAGGCAACATATGAGGTCTAAAACCCTAGATAGGATCCAGCCAGATTTTCTGCTCACTCTCACCCAGTTGTGGTCCTTATTACTGCCCTCTTCCTACATGGCCTTTTGGTGGCGAAATGGGACTCCCTCCTCCCCTTTCCAGCCAGGTTGGACACAACCCCTTGTTCGGAATTACTTTCACATTACACACACATTATGAACACTAGCCACAAAACTTTGTGTGAGATAAATGGAATATGCCAACGGAGTTTTCCTGAGCAGGACCTATAGAAATGAGTGGAAGAAGGACAGGAACACTGCCATGCTGCAATGAGAAATTCCAACTGGATTGTGCTAATTATTACTTCTAAACATGCACTATTGCTTCTTTTTTCAGAGGACTCCTTTAGGACTACGGTCCAGACCTAGAGCAAAGTGAATTTGCCTCGTGGTGCAACCCTAAGCAAAGTTACACCATTCTAAGGCCCTTGAAGTCAACAGAAGGCTGCAACTGTGCTTAGGACCGCAACATTAGTCTTTGTCATTGCTTTACAGGGAAAAAAATCCTGAATCCAAGTTTGAGGGGGTATTTCTAGGGGAAATGAATCCATCAGTTTCCACGAGTTTTAAAGCATCGTTTTAAATCAGAATATCTGTCTTGGATAATGCCTACACACTGTTTAGAAATCTGATGCAAATTCTTTCATGCAGACATACTGGATGCAGTGACATACAAAGCATTTCTGCCTCTCTGTTCCCAGCTACAGGAGAATTTCTGGAAATTTTGAAGCTTGGAAAAAAACCCAGGTTTTCCCAGTTTTTTTTCGGGGGGAAACGGCAATTTTCGGAAAAATTGAAAAAATGCTACATTAGCATTTTTTTGGTCTTTTCTAGATTGAAAAGTCATTCTGTTACTTTAGGAACATAAAATATGACTATGGACATTTTTACTTGGCATTAAATTATCACAACTAGCATATTAAAAATATAGTGTATCCAAACAATTATTACAATTATTACAAACAGAATACCCACCCACATGCAAAAACAAAATTGAAACCTTTTTATTTTCTTCTGACAATAGCACCTCCTAAAGGAAGAAATGCATCTTGTTCTTGCATTGGAGAGTTCAGTTTGCAACCTAGGACTTGCTTGTCCTCAGTGCACAGAAATTAGATCAATCTGATACCATACATATATATTTTAGAAATGATTTGAAAAATATTTGAAAACCTTGTCTTAAAATATTTTATTCATCATGTTAAAATAAAATGTTCCATAATCAATTTTTTTCTTTTCTTTTTTCAATTTTTTGGAAAAAAACAAAAAAGGCTTCAGGAAAAAAACGGGGGGGAAACGGTTTTTTTCCGGGCCTTCACATCTCTAGGTGTGCCCTTTGCTTTTATGCTTCTATTTTTCTTCTCTGTGCACTTCGTATTTGTGAACATGGTATTTATGACAACTGCACATTTGTGTCTTTTTTATTTTATACCACTGTTTTAATTATGCATTTTACTGCTTCTAGTACCAGGGAGCGATTGCAAGCTCGTCCTCTTCTCTTTGTTAGCAAGGGTAACTCTGTTTCCTCAGGGACCCCCGTGTCTTGGGAGAATCTAGTGCCAAATTTGGAATATAAGTATGCTTCTGTACCAACTCACCTTTTATTGATCTCATCAGTGTACTGGTACAGATCCAACCAAGAGTAACTCTCTACATTTCTTCTTCTCTTTCTTTATACATTTTTCAGTATCCACATCACCATGACAGATGGTAAATCTGACGATGATAATAAACAAGAAGAGAGGTTCTATCAGTGATTATTTTTAAAAGACAGAGGTGCTGGGGTTCAAGTTGTCTTGAAGATGTACTCTCTGACCTAGAATCCCCCTCCCCAATTCTAGATGGAGTGGGCTGGAGGTAGTAACTCAGAAGATGGGGAAAGCGACTTTGTACATATAGTAACTCTATTTGTTGCTTCTTCTTTATATACTGCCCTGACCTAGATAGCCCAGGCTAGCCCATCTCATCAGGTCTCAGAAGCTAAGCAGGGTCGGCCCTGGCTACAGTTGGACAGGAGATCACCAAAGAAGACCACAGTTGCATGCACAGGCAGGCAATGGCACGCCGACCTCTGAATGTCACTTGCCTTGAAAACCCCATGAGGGGTCACCATAAGTCCACTCCAATTTGACAGCACTTTCCATCCATCCACCCACTTTATATACTGAAGACCTGTTCCCTAACCATTAAGACAGGTTTCTGGGGCTGAATCCTGATGAAGTGTGCCTTTGCGGTGATTAGAAACTGATCCTTAAAAATTATCTCAACATCATTACGGAATTCAGCAATCACTGCTTCTAGTGTCATTTTCCTAAACAGAACCAGCCACCTCAGCTAGCCAAGGGCTTCTGTCCTGTCTTTCTCGGGGTGAAACACCATGATACAGTTTGCCTGGGTAAGTTCCCAGGTGTTGCTGGCAGTCTTGTTCCGGGACCCTCTGCCTCCTGGGTGCATGTGGACCCAATTCAGATTACAGCCATGGAACTCAAGAAGACACGGCTGCAGCTTTTCACCTTTGCCTGTTTTTCTGATCCAAAATGGCCCTGGGAACCTGCTATTTGTCCTACTACTAGGGACATTATGTGTGCTGGTGAGGTACATAAAAGTTTCCCAAATAGGGCCTCTCGCCCTCAAAAAGTTATCTAAACTTGGCGCACAAGAAGTGAGCCTGAGGAACAGATCCAAAATCAAAAGCAAGGTTTTGCAAAAGAGGAGAAAACTGCTTCTGCATGAATGAAATAAATAATTAACTGCAGGCTTAAATATGACCCGTTGCCTTTTCCTTGAAAGGTCTTCCCTTTGTATGCTACAACCCTGATATCTACAATACAACTTAAACAAAGCTGCAGGGGAGGCCCCGCCATGTGAGTTAACCCTGAATCAGGTCACAGATGACCGATGAAAGCAAAGGGACACTTTTCTTCACACTTTCTCAGAGGCCAGGGCAGAGTCTGACTCCTGACTCAAACTATTGACCAATTAAAATGTGTTCGTTGTGTAATCATTTATCTGAATGACTACACAACAGTTGAATTTTAATTAAATTAAATTAAAGGACAGACATTCACTAAACAGCAAGGCCTACTGAAGCGCTGAAGTGACCATGTGTGCCAGTTGGTCACTGGCATATGTATTTTTAGTGTATTTTTTGGTTCTGGGGAGAATGGCCACCTCTTGTGCTGCCCCCAAATGAGCAATTTCTCTACTTGACCTTCAGCTAGATGTCTCCCAAGTCGGTGCAAAGTCAGGGAACAACGCAGCTTTTTCTCCAGGCTACAGAAAAAAGTCATTAGCTCTCCTCTACACCCTACCAGTGAGAAGCCACATTCGGAGCATCTTCCAAGTAGCATGACAGGGGGGAAAAATCTTCTCAACCCAATTTCCTAGTTCACAGCTAGGGGAAAGGGAGTGGAGGGTCACCCGCTGCCGCCACACCAGATATGGAAGCACTCTGTGTACAGTGGAAGCTAAGACTCATGGAAGAGCTTCCCCCTCCTCCCTGGCTTGGAATAGGTGGTGGTGGTGCTGGGCCTTGCCACCTCTAAAACATGAGGCGATGTCAGAGACAAGACCTGCCCTTTTGCTTCAGGGAAGTAGAACTGATCTCGGTCAGCATACATTTTAGATGGATGCCAAATTTGTGGAGTCCCAGTGTTAGTTTTTTCAAGATTGTGGTTGCTTCCACTTTAACAAAAATAACCATGCAGCGCTGAATGAAAAACCACTTTTAATGTATCTTCCTTTTTTATTTGCGAGTATGTCTATAGAGCTCATAGGCCATATGTAAAATACAAGACGTAAAATATATGTAGAATATGTAAAATATGTACAATATGAAATGTAAATAAAATAAAACCAAGACACCCCCCCCCCCAAGCTAAACAATTCATAACTGACAAAATCACGGACAAAACCAGAAGATTTCAAGGCGCTCAAATGAATTAAAACAAAAATAAATTACAACAAAATAAACAGAAGGAATTAACGAGGGTTTTTTTAAACTTAGGGAACAGCTATGTGCTTCAGATTGCCTTACATATATGTAACATGTTGGGGCTTTTTTCTTTTTTTAAAAAAAATCTAACTTCTGTCAACATTGTAGAAAAATCCCAGTTCCAAAGAATGACTATAATGTGACTTTAATATTCAACTAAACGCTGCCAGCTTCAGTTGTCTACTATTCTTAGAAAGAAAGCAATTGTGCTTGCATTCAGAAAGGCAAACTGTTGGCTAGTTTTGAACACAGATTGGGAGGAAAAGGCATATTCATACTTCTGGCACGGGAACAAGGCACCCAGTGAGTCTGCACTGCCTGCAAAGTTGCACTACCCTTCCGTCTCAGCCTGGAGAAACTCTAACCTGTACTTAGAACCCTAAGACTCAGCTGATCCTATCCATCCATATTTACCTAGAAGCAAGTCCTGTTGATTTCAATGGGACTTGTTCCCAAGGAAGTGCACCCCAAATTGCAACCCTGATGGATGAACCTGACGAGTAAATACATCACAATTCACAGCCCTAGTTAGTCACTATTACCGTTTCCCCAAAAATAAGACCTACCCCCAAAATAAGCAGTAACGATTTCATGTTTATTTGTGTGTGTGTGTTTAAAAGTTTGGTCCTAGTAAAGGGGTCGTCAGGATTTCTATGCATTTGTGGTATAAGCCCTAGTGTGTCTTCTTGAGAAAAAAATAAATATAAGACAGTGGGAAACACGGTAAGTACAACAAAGTACTGCACTCATATTCCACAAACTGGGACATTTACGAGTAGTGATTCTCAAGGCTTTTAGCAAACAAGGCTTACATACAGTATTATACCAAGCCGGTGGGTTATAGCCATTGATCCAGGAGTGAAGCTGCCTTATACTGAACCAGACCCCTTGGTATATCAAGGTCAGTATTGTCTGACTCTGATGGGCAGCAGCTCTCCAGGGATTCAGATGGAGATCTTTCACGTCACATACTAACTCACCCTTGAAGACAGTTGCAGAGGGTCGTCACGATGGTCTGTGGTAGAACATCCAGATTTGAGTCCAGCAACACCTTAAGAAACCAACAAGATGTTCAGGGTACAGGCTTTCAAGATCAAGGGAGCTTTGACTCTCAAACATTTATACCCTGGAAATCTTGTTGATCTCTAAGGTGCCACTGGACTCAAATCTAGCTGTCCTCCCTCATCCTTGTAACTGGAGATTCTGGGTACTGAACCGGGGGGGCCTTCTCCATGCCACTGAGTTACAGCCCCCCTCCTTATTTCCTTGTCCCAGAGGGCTTCCGTGTGTCCCTCACACCTTCTGAATAACTGCATGTTGTGTAGAAGCTCCCGATTCCTTCAAAAGGGATTGTTTTCAGTCTCCTGCACTTCCCCACCAACAGCATCAGGAAAAGTCTCCTTATGCATATTCTTCTCACAGCTTAGCTAATGACACAAAAGGTACGCTAGACTTCCAGCCAAACTGTATGCATACTTCGTTTGGAGAAAGACCACCGGATTTTGAGCAAGTCTTACTTCCAAGTCAGTGTGCAGTGGACTGTAACCTTGGGGAAACTTTGGCCATCCTAACACAGATAATAATAAACGGTACTACACTTTTTATTTTGGACCAACGCAATTATCTGGAACCTCTGTTTATTTCAAAATGCTAGAAGAGGAGGAGATTGGATTTATACCCCGCCCTTCCCTTCACTACCCGAAGAACTCTCAGAGCGGCTTACTTCCCGTTCCCTTCCTCTCCCCACAACAGACACCCTGTGAGGTAGGTGGTGCTGAGAGAGCTCTTTCGAGGAGTGTTCTTGAGAGAACAGCTCTGAGAGAACTTGTAACTGACTCAAGGTTACGCCGGCACCTGCATGCGGAGGAGTGGGGAATCAAACCCGGTTCTCCCAGATTAGAGTCCACACTCCTAACCACTACACCAAACTGGCTCTCAATATATACTTAATTTATAGTGTGCATATGTATGTATGTGTGTGTGTGTGTATATATATATATATGTACACACACAGAGTAACATATACTTAATTTAACATTTCGAACATGCCCAATGGAGGGTACCATCTCACTATCATTAGGCCATGTAGTCATCCCTCCAGACTGTAAGGCCACTTGCCAATCACACCTTCCCAAACTCTGCAACCTAGAACCCTGCCCCTAACAGAGGACAGGCATATAGCAGGGAAAGGTGTCCACACAGCAAACAACTCTAGACCATTCAAGAGAACCAAATCATCCGCTTGAAACAAAAGCAGCCCCCCAGGTGCTTCATCTAATCAGGGCAGGAGGGGGTTCCTATCTGATCTGAGTCATCTGACCTATAAAAGGCACCAGGTTGAGTTTCACCCATCCATCAAATCTTCCTAAGGCAACTGGAAAGAAGATCTTCACCCCTCCCACCGCTTTACCTCTGGCCGTCCCTTGATGTCCACTAGAGGGGGAGTGTGGAGGGGGAAATCTAACTTTCCCAATTCTAACATACCATAACTCACCGACCGAGTTTGAAAACAGCAACAGAAAGCTTCCTCTGCCTCCAGCTCTTCAGCTAAGCTTTCTTAACAAGTAGGCATTCCAAACACCCAGTACCTCATTCTCTTCCTTTTCCTGTAAGGGGAAAGCCCAGGATTCGCTCACCCCCCTTTGCCTTGATCCAGGTGTCACTGGCTCCAGGAAAGCCAGCCATCTATGCCCCAAACCCTGCGTGTCTTTCTCCCTTCCAGGGCACTTCCGCCTTTCTAAGGAACTGCATGAGTAAAGACTCCGAGAGAGAGAGGTAGAGAGAGACACTGACTTGCTTTTAAAGTTTCTCCTTCTGGCCTTATTCTTTTCAAGATGGATGGTAAATGCACTGATGACTGTGCTGTTAGTAATACAGATCAGCTTTCCCGGTGCAATCTGGCAACTTCGGAGGAGCAGCGCCTAGAGTTTTAAAAAGAAAACGAAAGCGGGCAGGGAAGGCAAGGCTAGAAAGTGAGCAACTCTGCTGGAGCAGAAAGGCAGAAGGCAAAGGGCCAACCTCCGAACAGCAGAGCTGAACGAGGCGTTCGCGAGTAGCAAGCTAGAGGAGCTGAAGCCTTCGCAGGCCAGCGTCGGGAGCCAGGAAACGGCTTGTTAAAGGGAAATAGAAGACTTACGTCGTCCCCAGCGATCTATTCGGTGCAACCACACAAGAGTCAAACTACTGCCCTGACGCCCAACCCAGGAACCAGAATTCACTTCCGCTGAGTCCTTCCAGCCATGTGACGGGCCGTGTAAAGCATTAGACGGGACTTCTGGGCTCGGCTCCCTGGAGCGGGGTCACAGTGATCGACAGAGTTACACCGCTTTAAGACCATTACCTTCAATGTAATTCCGTTTAGGATCGCGCTGTAAACGCTGTAGGAGACTGGGTGCTAATCTGCACAGCGATGCACTACTAAACCGAAGGCATTTTGGAACAATAAGTCACACTGTTAACATTTCCGGGGTCAAAGCTTTTGTTTTGCTTTCAGCTTGTGATGAAGAGGCTTTTAAAAATATGTATTTTTGGCTTCGGTTTGTAGCGGTGATCTTTTTATAGGAACACTAGCAGTCTGCAGAACAGTTTGAGTCCAGTGGCACCTTTAAGACCAACAAAGTTTTATTTCTGGGTGTATATATATCTCGAGTGCTGAACTCAGCAATCTCCCATTCTTGTGTGTTTCTAAAGTTCCTTTGCAATAAAACAGCTCCTCGGAATGTCCTGGAATGTGGAAGTGTTCTCCTACAGGTTTCTCAGTTATGCGATTCTTGATGTCCCCCCCCCCCTTAGATTTGTGTCCATTTATCCTTTGGCATAGGGTTTGACCCGCTTGTCCTATGTAGAGAACTGAAGGGCACTGTTGACATTTAATGGCATATACAGTGTTAGAAGATGAGCAAGTGAATGAGCCTGAGATGGTGTAGTTCAGGGGTGTCAAACATCTGGCCTGGGGGCGGGATGACTTCCCTGGAGGGCTTCTATCAGGCCTGCAGTGGAACTGGCTGTCTTCTGCTTCTTCTTCCAGTATTGCTGCTGCTGTGTCATGGTAGGTTTGTAGCTTACAGATACACACCTGAACAGCATACTCAAGATTGCAACAGCACAGTCCTTTTGATGCAATAATTCAGAGCAAGAGGTGTCAGTTATCAGACACTGTAAAATAAACAAAATATTGCAAGAGTGCTAATGTTTTAGGCATGTTTTTATTTTAAGTTAAAAAAAACCCCTTTGCGTTTGTGTTCTTTATAAAGTTTATATCTCCGCTACCTGGCATTACATTTTATGACACTCATGGCCTGGCCCAACAAGATCTCATTTATGTCAGATCCGGCCCTCATAACAAATGAGTTCAACACCCCTGGTGTAGTTGATGTTATTAGGTCCAGTGATTGTGTTGTCTCGGTGTATGCAGCAGCAAAATTTGTATCTGGGTTTATTACAAGCTCTGGTACCAGAGTTTTCAAATTAGATGCTGTATTATTGTAGGTGAGGAGTTGTTTAAGACTGGGGGGCTATCTGTGGGAAAGTTTTGCCCACCAGTACTTGTAAAAGAGAACTCTCATTACCTAGTAGGGCTTGTAAGGTGCTGATGATAAGTTGAACTGCTTTGGGTTGAGATCTGAGAGCTGTACGTGACCATTAGTGGTGTTCTGTTATTGTCTCTTTACGGCCTGTCTTGCAACAGGTTTTCTCAGGGTACCATTCTGGCTTTGTTAATCTGTTTCTTGACTTCATCAGGTGGATATTTTAGTTCCCAAAAGGTTTGTGAGATCTGTTTTTTCCAACAGAGACCAGGCAGGTGCTCATGAAATAGGGTTGCCAGCTCAAGGTTGGGAGATACCTCGACATTTTGGGGGTTGGGGAGGGATCTCAGCAGGGTACAGTACAGTGCTTTAGAGTCTACCCTCCAAAGCAGCCATTTTTTCCAGGAAAACTGATCTCTGTAGTCTGGAGATAAAATGTAATACCAGGTGATCTCCAGGCCCTGTCTGGAGACTGGCAACCCTAGTTGATAGCTATCCTTTGAACCAGTAGGTGCTCTGACATCCCACCAGATAACTTTCATATCATCTCAAACAATCCTTTTGAGTGGAGTTGGTTTGCATGATCTCTTACATTGAAAAACTATATAGGAATAAAATAACATACTTGCATGTGTGAACCAGTTAGTACACACTTCTAAATGAGGATGTTTCCTTTAGGTAATAACTGCGGGTATTTTCAATAACCACAGTTAACATTATAGCCACCAATTTCAGACTTCTGGTTTTGGCGCTCTAATAGTGGATGCGCCGCTTCGGAGAAGACTTGGACTTGGAACGTGGGGCGGCAGCCCCTAAGCAAGGATATCGTTTGAGGGAAAGAAAAGACAAAAAATGAGATGCTAATTTCTTCTGAAGACTGTTTCCTTTTGTTAATAATATATAGAGTTCTTTTGTTATTGTTCTTTAAGAAGTCAGAAGTTCTGGATTTGAAGCATATAAGCGGATTTAATGATCACATTTAATGTAACCCATATCTTTTTATTTTTACTATATTGTAACCATTATATGACCACCACCTCTTGGGTTTTTAGTGTTTTTCTTTACTTTCTCCTGTCGTTTGTAGTCCCCTGTCCCTATTTTCTTGTAGTGTTTTAGAAAATAAGGTGTTTTTTTTTTAAAAAAACATTATAGCCACCAATTTCATGATGTTTTATATTTTTGTCTTATTTTTCCTCCAAATGGTTCAAGATCACACTGATATGATACCGCCTTTTTGGGGGGAGTGAGATTAGAGTCCATTGGCACCTTTAAGGCCAATAAGGTTTCCAAGATATGAGCTTTTGAGTGTCATAGGCCCCTACCACACGGGGGGGCGGGGAATGTGCAGCCAAAGTGCGGCTTTTGGAAGCCGCACCAAAATAGACATGCCGTGGCGGGATCACATGGATCCCCTGAGCCGCGCCACCGTTGCTCCCTAGCACGATCAGATGCCGGGGAGGAAGCCACGGTCGGGAGACCAAGGCAGCTGGCTGCGCATGCGTCTGCATGCGCAGTTCAGCCAGGAGCTGGGGATGCGCCGGCAGAAAGATGCACTGGTGATCCCACGGCCGCGCTTGCCGTGGCCGTTCAGGTAAGACCACCTCTGTCAGTGATTCTTAATTGCTGTGGGGTTTCCGGGGTTAGGGATGGATTGGGGACGGGTGCGCGCCGCTTCCCAGATGTTGCGGTGAGATTGCGCCTGTTTGCTGCGGCCCCGATCCGTCCCTCTCCTGGGCCCAAACCCTCCGTGTGACCGGGACCAAAGATCACTTTGTCAGACGTTGACCCTTGAAAGCGTATGCCCTGGCGATTTTGTTGGTCTTTAAGGTGTTACTGGACTGGAATCCAGCTCTGCTCACGGCCATAGCCAGAAAATTTTTCTAGGGTGGGGGAATAAGTACAGTGGTTGTGAGCACATCATTATTTATGTACTTTATTATGAATGAGCTATGAGGTAGTGCAAAGTCTCTACAAGGAATAATTCCACAAAGGTTAACCGATAATCCATTTTGTTTAAAAACAAATATCCCCTTCTTTTATTTACACATGATGGAACAGAGTCTTGTAAAGGCATGAAGATCCCCACCCCCATATTGTCCCATTTCCACTTTCCTGGGTTGCAGTGTGCCAAATGGAAATGTATCAACATAAAAGTGTCTGTTTCTTCCTCTGAGCATAAAATGAGGCTACACTAACAAAGATCACAGAAGAAGGTGTATTTTGGGGGGGATGGATGGCCCCTTTGATTCACAACACCATCTTCCAATGAACTCACACACACACCCAAAAGCCCCAAACCCTCCTTTGATTTGGCTCCACATAACTTGCTATAAGGACTAAGGATAGCTACAGGTACTCAGGCTAGAATCCAGTAGGGTTGCCAACCTCCAGGGGGTGCCTGGAGACCTCCCAGAACTACAAGTGATTACCAAAGAGATCACTTCCCCTGGAGAAAATGGCTACTTCAGAGGATAGACTCTATGGTATTATACCTGATGAATGTCCCTCCCCCACCTTCCCCAAGCTCCATCCCCCATTTTGGGAAATTCCTGGAGTTGGCAAACCTAGTGAGTATGTGCGCACACACACGTTTCCTTTGCAGCTACAGCCTACCTGGGAAAGGGTGGCTTTTTTGCTTCACACAGATGGGAAGAGAAGCTGGGGAGGCTCCCCTCTGTAGATACAGAAAGTGAGTCCCTCCCCCCTTGCTGAGTTCAGGTAAAAGTGAACGAAAAATTTTTGTCAGCACCAATTCAGTACCACCATTTTACAGAGATTTGAAAATGCTGTGATGCCCTGATCCACTGTGGTCTTGTGGTGCGGAAACTTTCCCCCCACCCCAAGTGTTTTCGAGGGCCAAAACAGCTGCATAAGCACCAGCACACACTGTAAAATGGTCACGAGTTCACTTGTGAAAGGCAGAATACAGAGGTGGCTGCTGTCACCCACCCCCTCTGATTCCAACCACCTTCCCCACCCAGGCTAAAATAGAATAATAATAAAAAAGCTTCTACCTTAATGTGTTACAGTGCTGCAGATCAGAGGGAGGGAGGGGGAGGAGGGAAGGAAATGCTCTCTCTCATTGGCAGAAGACTTGTGACAGATTTTACAACCCCTAGAGCTGATTGGAGGGGCATGGCAAATGATTGGTGGGGCCACGCCCCTTTTGTGCACCGCTGTAGTTACTGGTCTGTCTACTGCAGACCGAAAGAGCTACCCTCTTGAAACATGTCTGGGGGAGTATTTAGGATGAGACAATAGCTGGCCTAGAGATTACCCCCCAATAAGCTTTGTAGTCCTTGAGGTGTCACAGTACAGCTGCATGATGCTGTAGCCCAGGTGTTCACATCCAAGCCCAGCACTAATCACTGTACCACATACGTTGTCGAAGGCTTTCACGGCCGGAGTTCATTAGCTGTTGTAGATTTTCCGGGCTGTATGTCCGTGGTGTATGGTCAAGACCATGGCCATGCAGCCCGGAAAATCTACAACTACTGTACCACATTGTTTCTCACTGGTAATGGTTTGTCTGCAATGCTGTTCTGGTGAAAATTCTGAGACTGCAAAATATACCACCATCAAGTATCATGGCTGTATTTTATAACTATTACTAATGTAGATATTGTCAAAACCATGGGCTTCATGGTTCCTAGATGTGTC